CGTTTCACAATCTCAAAATATAAAGAAGTTTAGCAATTGCCGCATATCTGTTGCCTGTTGCCTGTTGACTGTTGACGATTGTGTTCCTGGCAGTGCTCGAAATGGCTCTTTGTGTTAGAGCCTGCTACAAAGGCACCTTATCTGATCATGGCCTGAGTGACCTGTGACAATGGGACTTTAATAGCTACTCCTAAAAAATGTTGTGGCTCCCACACTTATACATCACCTTGCCCTTTCTTGTGTCTGAGCCTCAGCAAAAAGCTCTGATCAAGATGTTGTCATTTCCTACCAACACTTTAGATCTCCTCCCATTCTTCTCTGATCTTCACCCCTCTGAAACTCTGATAAATTGTCTTTTCCTTCCTCCAGTCTTTTTCCACCTCTCTATGTCTCTTTTACCCTCTTCCGTTTTTCCTTCGCATTTCTTCTCATTAGGATACACCCATATCTGAAATTCTGGCTGGCAGGATCATTGCAGTGCAAAGTGTTGGGAAGATCACAGGGGTGCTCTTAATGAAAGGTGTGTGTAGGGGCTATTTCTAAGTTACACACCCCCAGATAGGACTGTTAGATGAAAGGAAAGAACATAAATCCATAGAAAGAAGAGGGGAAGTTGGCAGACAAGATGGCCAGAGAGAGAGAAGGATGTAAACCTTTCCAGGACAATGGACAATTAGATCCAGCAAAGCATTAGCGCAGAGAAGGCAAATTACTTATAATAACCTACAATATGTCTTTCCTTTTCCTTTTTTATGTTAGATTGCCATCTACAAATCGATACCTTTTATTTTTCACGCTCACTTCCTCACGTCATTAATGCTCTACGCTCCTTTTTCCCCCCTTTCACTCCGTTTATTTGATCTATTTTTCCATATCACACATCTTGTCACAAAGCTGTTTGTAATGTTAAATCGTCCTGCAGAAGCGACAAGATTTACTTCATTAAGTAGTGGCAGAGTGCACTGCTTCACTGGAGAGTAAGGGTAAGAGTCTGTCCTCGTGGGCTCTATCAATAACCATTAAGGATCCTCTCTCATTAGACCAAACCTCGTAGGCCTCCAGGACGTGAGCAATGGGTCCTGCCGTCTTATGTGATGGAGTACGCTTAGATGGAATCACCACTGTTTGGAAATGCAAATTGCAATAGTTACTCTCCCCTGAGGATGGTTGCCACCAGCGCTATGTACACAGCCTTATTCTCATTCAGCCTCGTTGGTTAATCAAGGAGAACCTCACTCCCCTATCAGCAACCTCCAATTTCCTCTTCAGCTCCTCCCTTTTCCCCACTCTCCATCTATTTACACATACACACACACCTCAAAGCCATTCAGCATATCCAAGCCACTGCAGTATGATTATTCATATGGCAATGAGGCTGGATCAAGCTGGCAAGCCTGCCACGGCGTGATGGGAGTGTTTCTGGATGATGACTTAGGAGTCCTGCAGCTTCTCTGCCAAGAGCAGGGAATTCAAACTTAATCAGGGCAAGGACCCCTCCCTCCTATCTCCCAGAGAGCTCCACAGGGTTGAGGCCAAAACAGGAATAGAATGAGAGAGACAAAAGTCAAAGTCTAGGCAACATCATGCACACTCTCTCCCTCTGTTTTCCTCAGAGAGCCAGAGGTTTTCTCCCGTGAGCGATGGGTTCATTTAAGGGCTATTGGAGAAACTTTTCTGTTTCACTCAGGAGAAGACATTAGTAAGATTAGCTTTGTTCTAGTCTATCAGTCCCATCGAAAACTGTTATCTCTCCCTCACACACACACACGCACACACACTGTCCCAAATTTCCACACACTTAGGTATCCATCCATCACCCAGGACTATGTTTCACTGAAGCCCAGACAGTGAGCTCTCTGGAGCAGGCCTCCCAGCCCTCAGCTCGCCCCTGTCCGCATGGCATGGTCACACCAAGGGGAGGAGGCAATGATCGGTCCTGATCAATAATACATCGCCTGCATTAAAGCTTATGAATAAGTCATGGATGGAAAGAACCCAGTCGTCAGGACACACACACACACACACACAGAGCAAAGTGATCTTTTACTTAGGCCAGGGAAGATGAACAGACAGAAAAAGAGAAAAAAGCAAGGGCTTTAACTTGTAGGGAATTTATCACCCACCCACTGACATTTTGTTGCATGTTGAGGCTCCACTCTGTCTTTTCTCTCTACCACCAATCCTATTTGCTGCCATTCTCTATCTCTCTTTCTTTCCCTTTCTCTCTCTTTCTCTCTTTCCCTCTCTCAAGTAATGGCCTTTTTTCCTGCGGGTGGAATAAATAAGTTATTACATCTATGTGTCCTAAGGCTTAGCAAGGACCGTTTGAATATAAATAGTTCATTTGCCTCCATAGTGGAGGCCTCGCTTTGTGCCATATAAATACATTTGTAATTACTTTCTTCTTCTTTTTTTCCCTTTTCTTTCTTTTTTACGAAGAGCAGGGTGACTGTTTTGGTTGACTGGAGATGCAAGATGAAATTGCCTTACACAAATAAGTCTGCCAAAGTTTTACCCCAAACACCATCTAAAACAGGAGGGAGCTGTTTGAGATTACTGGGCTTGGCTCAATGCAGAATTTTGTGTGCTGTGCTCACAATAAAGAGTGAGCACCCTGTGATGCTGTAGACCATTTGAATACTGAGTAAAACTGGAAAGTACAAATAGTAACTTTGTCAAGAATTTGAATGGAGCAGTGCTTTTGAATAAATAATGTCTCGACTGTATACTTAAGAGAGAAGCTATAACTATATAGCAACTAACCCTGTATGTGTGTGTGTATACACTTTGTCTAACATCATCATTTATTCTGGCAGTCAGTAAGTTGGCACTTGATGCCAAGGCAGTTGCCAAGTCCATATTTGTATTGTTCCTGCTTTGTTAAAACATAAAAGTGTTGGTTTTGACATGACCACTGAGCATTTTTGAGTAAATCCGTTTAGTTTTGAAAGGCCAACAGGTAGTCAAAATATGTTTACCACTGCTTATAGGTGTACACATGTGTGCTAGCATGCACTCACGAGTGCACACATTTGCGGCTGCTCTTTGATGAGATGCCCTGTTGTGAGTTTGTGTTGTGATGATGTGCTCCTGGAGGAGGGGCAGGAAGGCAAAGGAAGCAGCTCTTTGTTTCTGCCAACAGAAGTATGTCAGACAGGAATACTCTGGTAGCAGCGCTCAGAAAGATATGGCTGCCTATTAGCGGACGGGTGGATTTTTCCTCAAAGATTGTGCTGCATACAGCGTGGGCAGGAAAACGGAGGCGGCAGAGGTGGATGCAAGTGAGGAAGAGAAGCGGAGATGGATAGAAGTCTGACGGAGTTATAGGAGATAGAGACCACAGAACATTACTAGGGACAGAGTCAATAAGTTTATATAGAATGTATTCATTAGCTGCTTGTATAAGATTGTAACCCATTGTGTATAAGGATTCTATACAAATAACTCTTTATCCCGGAAAACACGGCACCGTATAATTCAGATGTCACATGATGGATAACCAAATGTGTTGTGAAACTGCTTTCTCTCCTGGTGAGGGAGGTTAAAGCCTGCGTGGTAAGAATAGGCTTAGTGAAGTTACACAAAACGGAAAAGTTACAGACACTGGTGACTTGATCCTTTTTTATCCACCACTAGCTCTTGACACCACACAACTAAAACACTTTTAAAAATCACATATTACTGAAAATACTGTACAACTGACTGTATTGCATCATGACTAAGTCCCATCTTCTTCCTGCTACTACAGTACAGTGTGTACAGTGTGTTTGTATGTGTTTTATTAAGGCTCACTGCGCTTGTCCAGAGAATGATTCATTAATTTTGTGTGAGATAGTACAGTTGCCATGAACCACTCTCCCACCAAATGTAATAACCAGAGAACAAAGCACCTTTACTATGGTTATGTATCCTGATGTAGCTTCTTAATTGACAGTGAACACATGCATGACCTCATTGATTCATGCTGGATGTGTGTGTGTGTGTGTGCTGTGATGTGTGTGTGGTGTTTGTTGTGGTGCTGTGCTGTGTGTGTGGTGTGTGTTGGTGGTGTTGTTGGTTGTGTGTGGTGTGTGTGTGTGGTGGTGTGTGTGGTGTGTGTGTTGTGTGTGGTGTCGTGTTGTGTGTGTGTGTGTTCTTTTCATTCAAATGCAGCTTCATTTTGAAACAGTGATATCAGTTCTGTCCTTGAACTTGAAATGTCAGTTATATCAGCTCTAAAACCAAAACATGCGCAGTCAGTCAAGCTGCCATAGCAGTTAACTTCACGTCTACTCCATTTTGAACCCTGTGAAACTGTATCACATCAGAGATCTCTTCTTTGTTGATTCCTGCTCTGTGAGATGACAGTAAAGTCACACATATAAATGCAAACTAACTGTCCAAGGTCGAAGGGAGTGATTGTTTCAGAAGAAACATTTGTGCAGTGAAATTAGATGGCGTAGCTCTAAAGTGCATTGAATCTCATTGAATTTAATAGCATCCCCATCCAGTAAGTGTGTGTTTAGGAAAACATGCTGACATATAGTCTTTTTGAAAATGGATGTGGCGCAGTAGATGTAGGGAGAGAAATCATAATAAGAAGGATGGAAGGTGGAATGTGACAAGTTTCCGGAGAGAGTTGCTTCTCAGGGAGAAGCAGTGCTCTATCACCCTTACGACATTGTCCAATTAGAGCATATGATTAGTGTAGACTGTCTCCAGTGAAATTGAATCTATCAGCCAGGCTCGGATTGCTACAGGTCCCTGCAATTTAACTATCACTTTGTCTCTGTCACCGCAGAGCTGCTAATATAAAACCGACAGAATGGATGATTTCTACTTAAGGCGTAGCTTGATTGAAGCTGATTACATTTCACAAAGGTTTATTATATTTCCATAATATGTGTGCATGGTGAAAGGTGTGTGTGTGGGTGGGATGTGTGTTTGTGTGGCTGCACGCACGTGTAGAGTTGGAGGACTAATTTGTTTCTGTTCTGTTTTTTTCCATCTTTTTTTCCCAGGCTACCAGAGCCGAGGGCAAATCCCATGGACCCGCGGGACTTTGAAGACAATGATTCCGGACCATCCATGGGACACGCCCCCTGATACCAGCAGATCAGACTCTTACTACATCCACCTGTCCTTCAATGTCTGCTTCAGCCAGCCGCCAGCCCTGTTGAGCTGTCAGGCTGGCCCTCTCTCTGTCAGCCGTCTCCCTTTTTACCCTGCTCGCCTCCCCCTCCCCTCCCTGCTGGCAATGAGCTGACCTTGAAGAAGGCTGCTGTGACAAATATGGATGGCCACGTCTTTTCGGCTCTCAAACTTTTTTTAATTCCTCCCTGGCTACTAACTTTCTTTAATTGAAGCAAGCAAGTTATGTGCAATCAATTACCATCAGGCTCAATTTCCACAGCCAGTCAGATCCTTGGCTTACTGGTGAGGCTGGCTGACTCAGACAGGAGCCCGGCTAGGCAGCCATGCGGAGCATCTGTTAAGCCCAACAGATGTCAACAGTGGGAAATTCTGTGACATGGTGGCGCTTCATACTTCATTTATTTGCAATATCATTTTGGTTCTGTCGTTTTGACAAACATTTGGGACACTCTCAGACATAGAAAGGGAACATTTGTCAGATGCCACAATGCCTTACGTCGTCAAGAGAATATATTACAAAAGTGTTCTGGGTATTTTTATTGTAAAAAGTTTCTCTAGCTTTTGTTCTACAATCTTGTCTCTTGTACTTCACATCATCCTATTCCCTTCACCCCTCCCTTCCCCTCTGTCCTCTGCCCTACCCACTGATTTTTTATGCTTGTATATTTGTGCGCACTTCCTTGTGTGCTTGTCAGATCTATTATCAAAAGCGGGGGACATTTTGACACCTATTGATTGGTGAATGCTGCTGAGTCTTTGTTAGGTGAAAATCGAACTGTAATTTGACTGTGCAAAATAGTACTCCCGCAGTATCAGCTTTCTATGTACTGTAATGTAAAGGCTCATTACTCCTGGCCAATCTGCAGCGTATGACGGATTACAGTCCAGACAAGTGTATGCACTTTCTACCTTGACCCGCTCAGACATAGCTTTCATTCATGATGCACCGCAGCAAGTCTTTCTGTATCAGCAGTTTGTTTTTAATGTGATTGATTCTGTTGCCTTCAATTCAAAATTGAAAGCAGTTTCACCCATAATACGTGGAACATGTTTGTCAACATGACACTGCACTAAGATACAATGAGAGTTGTATACCCACCCAAGGGAAATGATATTAAAATAACTCTACCAGGTCATTCTTTATTCTAATGTAACAGCAGACAAGCGTCTGACTGTCTGATGTTTCTTCTTTTTTATTTTCTATTTTTGTCTTAAAGCTATAAATAAACAGCCTGTTTTTTTAGATTGGATGTTAAATGTGACATGTATATTATTTATCTCTTACAAAACACTACGCAACACCTGAAACTCATCAGTTTTCCAAGACTCTATTATCATGAAACCTTACAGACGTGACAATGGATGCAGACAGGAGGAGAGATTGGGAAGGAGTGGATTTTTAGTTTTCCTTCATCAAAATTCAAAGCAGCAACCCATCCAGATAGTACTGGGAATTGGAGGTTTTTGAACAAAGGGGGTGGGGGGGTGATGGAGCAGTAGAGCTCTTTGGGGTCTCTTCTTCTCCACAGATGCATTTAAATGCAGACTGGTTTCACAAACCCAGACAAGCCAGAACCCACTTTCATCAGCTCACAGCCTCAATCAGAAAGCCTTTGTGTCCCCTATGCTGTTCATTTTTCTTTCGCCTTTTACTTCTCTAGCTTTCTCAGATCACACCACGTGGCTCACATTGGCTTCACACCTGTTTTTTTGCCCGAGCTCCTTCATCAAGGCAAGAATGCTTTCTCAGCATGTCCGATCTCTCCACATTGAGAAATTGACTCTGAGAAACTCATTTAGTCGTGGCTGTAGCTATCTGGGTGGTAACACATCTGGGTTTGCATTCTCTTGTGAGTTTGCCTTTACAGAAATAATGGGGCTTAATGATTTACCGCATGAGGCATTGATCCTTGGCATTCACTAAGCAACTGCGGACTGACCAAGCACCGCAGCACTCAAACCCAGTGTGGCTGTGGCTAAATTGATTTAGGTTAGCAGACGGGAGGCATAGCCAAATGCGGGCTCCTGGGCTATCAAAGGGATGCTGGTTACAGCGGATAATCATTATCCCGTCATCTGCGTCGCCAACCTGATCAAAGAAATAACAACAATGTGGGGAGACAATGTGCCTGGTGTCTGTGGAGGAAATGGAGGAGAGAACGTTGTCTCATCTAATTTAGCCAGCGAGACCACAAGGTTCCCTTTTTTCCACACCCAATTACACCTGCTCCTCCAGGTTCACTTCACTGAGCGTGTTCACACAGAGACACAAATAAACACAAGCACAGTCGTAAGACCGCCGCTTTGCTGATGGGCAAAAAAGAGACCATTTGTGTATTTGTATTGACATGAATTAATTGCTTCATGGGTTGTGAGATTGAATTAGCTACGTGACATGCTTGCTAGTGGTGATGCAGCTTTGATTGCTGCCTATAATAGAGCCTATTTCTTTCTGCCATTATTTAAAAGACAGTTGAGTTTGTGTTGAGCAGCTCCACCACCCACCAACCCACTATTACTTGATGATTCAGTTTATTAGCATGCAAGAGCAGGTACAGAAATAGGAAATTTCTTTTTAATAACAGACCACACAATGCCCTGAGATCTATGTATCTGTGTATCTGTGTGTGTGTGCATTTAAGCATCTGTGAGGACGTGCATTAGCCTGTGAAAAATGACAGTTTCTCTGCAGAGACCCACACCTCTCGTACCATTCAAGAGAATGTATTGCTTGTCTCACAATAAGTGCACTATCTTATTCATCTTTCCCCATGGCCTCTTTACACACACACACAAACACAAAAACAAGGAAATAGGCATCAGCCAAGGGACGCTAACCCCCTGATTTTTACATCTTCCGCTGTTTGCTTTGGGTTCAAACATTCACTGCAACCAGAGATGACTATAACAAGACTCAAAGATTAGTGTCATCTTTGAGTTCACATTTTCATCCCTTGTGGTGTCTTACGTGGGTTTCCAATGTGTTTGCTATACATTTTGGATGCAAAAAAGGAGGTGGAAAGCAGACAAAATTAGCATATTGGCCAAGAAAAATACACGATGCACATAAACAAAACAAGTGACATTTCTTGGTGCAATGAAAACGTATATGTTTTTTTTGTCTATATTTGCAGTAACAACCCACACTAACACCTGAACCTTGTCTCCAATTTATTTAATGTGATCAACAAAGAGAGGGCCAAGGCACCTCTTGAGGAATGCTAACAGGGAATAAATCAATCTATTCCAATCTTTGATTTTTGGCTCATATGAGGGAAGGTGATGCAGATTCTGGACCATCCCAGGCTGACTGACAGCATGCATCTGTCAAAGGCGGCAGGTACAGACAGCTGTCTGGCAGCCCTAGCTCATGAACAATGAATGGGTGGAGACGAGACGGCCGGGGGAATCCATCTGTCCTCTCGACAGCTTCCATCGCTCTTACATCCCCGAGTCAGCAAAGACACCTTAGGGCTTCTGTCTCTAACCTTTGTGCAATCGTTCCCTGTCTGAGCATTCTACTTGGACAAGTAGAGGACTTGCAGACTAGGAAGGGAAAGGAGACTGAGGGGGTATTGCGATCAAAAGCAGCAGATGAGCAGGCTCATACCAGGGTTTAGAATGAGGATTAGAGTTTAGAATTAAGCTTGCAATGGGGAGACATAAAACCGGTCACATGCAAGGTAATAGAGATGGGGATCATGATGGCGTGGATGCAGTGGAGAGGAGCCGGGATGCTTGGTTTCCTCGAGCTGATAATGGAACGTGCCTCTGAATAAAATGAACATCCCGCCTAGATAACACCTACTGCTGTTCCTTCTGGGAGCTGTAACACATTATACTCTCTCTGTCACAGCTGTGATGAATCATCCTCACAACAAGGATGAATGTAGAATGTAGAAATGTGGGATGCAAAATATTGCCTTTGCAGACTTGCTCTCCAAAATCTCTGCCCAAAGGTAAGTGGAAGTAAAAACAATATATATGTTTATATTGTAATATCAAGGTTCTTCTTAGTTGACACAAATATGTCTGCATGCATCTAAAAATGATCTGTTGCATTAAAATGACATTTGTGTTCAAGTTTCTTTTCGCAGAGTTTGACATCCTTCTACACCCACTGTTCACAAAAACCTGGCAACTCGGCTTGATCCACTCCACTGTTTTCCCCTCCTTGTCTTCCTCGCTCCTCATCCTTCCTCACGCCTCTCATCATTCATGCTGTGTACACAGTCTGTCTCTTTCTGGTTGCCCAGGCTCCTCTGGAGCTTGTTAATTGCGTTGGTGACACAGGTCTGTGTGTGAAGCAGCAGTAGTAATTGCTCTGGCCTGGCCTGAAGAGAGGAAGGGTGCAGCCGTCTGGCCTCCAGGTCTGCCCCAAGGCTACGAGATTAGATACATGCTTCCATGTTTGATGAGATGGATAGCATTAGGAGTTTTATTAGGGACAGTCTACCATCAAGTTTGTACTGCTGTCCTCATTGGGTTTATCAGACTATTCTGCAGATACTGTATAAATCAGTAGTAGCTGGAAAAACAGTTTGTACGATATTGTGATGACCTTTAGATTACAGCAGGAGTGTCATGTTATCCATTCAATTTATTTGTTTCTATCACTCTAATACAGGGAGCTCAAATACCATCGCTTAGCATAATTTGTAGACTCACATGCATGAGAGTGGCAGGCTTAAATGCCTGCTGTTGTACAAATACCTTTTTCTCAGTTAGTAGCTTAGTGTCAGCGGCCCCCATTAATCAGGCTGTTCTGGTAAAGACTGGAGATTCTACCATGGAAATTATCCTAAACAAGACTCCAGGACGTGGAGGGGAAGCCAGTGAAATGAGAAATATATATATATGTAACGTTAAAAATTATGCAGTTTGATTTATTAAAAAGAAGGTTCCTTGGACCTGCAACACAGCTGGCCGTTATTGCTAAATGGGTCAAATACAGAGGACACATTTCGTCATAGTGATTAATGAAATATAACAAAACAGGTGTTGAGTTGAGTTTCCAACTTCAAGGGGGCACCTGTTATGGCTTAGAATGGTGTTTTTGGTGACATTTTGGAAAGTAGGAAGCAATTGTGTTATCTGAGTATCATTCCCCATCCAAGAAAAACTGTTCTACTCCTCAATCTGCTGTACATTTTTGGAGCAGCACATTGAAATTTGCATGTACTTGTTCAGCCAATCAGGACAAATCCACCAGCTACCCAGCATGCAGTATTGGGAGCTCAGTCATTTCTTGTTTGAAGCCTGCTCCAGTGAAGTCCTGTATGTAGAGTTGGTCTGCCCCACTTTTGGTATTGTGTGAGATCAAGCAGTCAGAAACATAGTATGCATTTGCTTCACTAAGGTTTCACTTGGCCTCATGTCATGGTGGTGTCATGGGAGGGGGTGCAAGCATCAACCAATGTTATACATTTTAACCCTAGTTCTATGAAAACTTGTGAATCTCTGTTTACAGGAGCAGGTGGGTTTGCCCATGAGCCATGAGCCTTACTGGTACATGCACTGCTGCAGTAGAGGGTGATCAGCCGTGCAGAGCCAAGAGCGTTCTGCTTGTGCTCCTGCGTCAAGTATCGTTGCGGCCTAAAATGCCAGGAATTCAACTAGTTATCTTGGCACAAATCAGCTGCTTCGCTCTTAGAAGTTAGTGCGAGTGATTTCCAAGCAAATGTGATAGTGATCTTAAAGCTACGATAAAGCTTTTGTAGTGGAATGAGATTATGCTCATTGTAATGCACTTTAACAATACACTCTAAAACCTCTCTCGTTACACATCTATAATATTTTTCTGGATTGGCATACAACATATGTATTGTTTTTACAACTGTAAAACACATTTATTGTTTGAGAGCTATTTAAAAATGGATGTGAAAGTGTTTTTCACAACAGTGTTGAGATTTTCTTTAAGGAACAATGATATTCTAACTTTAATTTTCTACTGTTTACTGTGGGGAAAAGTGGGGAAAAAATAGAAAATATACACACATTAATTTCAATATCAGTAAGAATCTGTATAGTCAACATGATTAAGTTCTTTACTGACATGTTGTATTAGTGTCTGTCCTTGTACTTCCCGCCTACACAAAATGTTTCTTTAATAGACTCCCCTTGGTGACTGCTTAATCAAGATGACAAGCAGCTTAAAAATCAGATCCTAATTGGATGCAGTGATGATAAGGCATTAACTGAACATGCACTCTTTTGTATTTTCAAAAAAATATCTCCCTCAACAACAGTC